GAAAACATATTATTAAATGCTGATAATCTTCAATTGTCTTTGCTTAAACCTGTGGACATTCCTCAAAAAAAAATTGTAATGCACTATCATTTAAAGATTAGCCATTTTGCAAACACAGAAAGGCAATGGCTATTTAAAGACTATAAAGAAGAATCCAGCTCTTCAGAGATAAATGATTTTAAATGGATAGTCTTGTCAGAAAACTATGACAGAATTAGTCCTGCAATGCTCAAAATTCCATATTTCGTTATTAAAATGCATGTGAAAAGAATTAGTGAAAAAGAAAATATTACCCTTTCTAAAGAACGTATTGCTAAGAAGTACTTTAACTGCGATTATCAAACTTTGTGTAATAAAGGAATTAAGCAAATGATATTAAATTACTTATGTTATATTGGGTAGAAACCAATGTGTAACTGCATGTTTAAAAAATAGTAGCTGGTTTGCTATACAAGAAAAGATATAAGAATTGATATAAATATAAAATAAAATTTGTCTTAAACCCCACATTTACTATTTACTATTAATATATAAATTGTATTAAGATACAGCTATGCAACACTAGTGAATTTCTCACTACTGCATAGTTTATATTTTTGTTTTCTATTTTATTTTAATTTTCATTCAGATTTTAATATTTTTTGTAACAATATAATATTGTGTAACTTTAAATTTTGTATTAATTAAGTTTTGAAATAATTATAAGTTAATAATAAATTGTTATATTATATACATATTATAGCATACTTTTATTAGACCTTAAATATTATAAAGTTGAATACATATTGCAAGTTTGAATAAAATATGAATAAAATAAAAAAAAAAAAACAAAAAACTTTCAGAGGAATGGGGGAGGCAGCTAAAATTTTTCTCTTACGGAAGTAAGTTTCTAGTAAAGATCCATTTATATTTTATGAAATTTCAACTTTTTTCTTTTCTTCACGAACAGAGGGAAACTATAAGCACTTATTTACAAAATTTTTGAAGAGTCTAAAAAAAAATTAAATGAATATAAATGAAAGGCAAAATGATGAACATCATCAGCATCAAATTCAACAACATGATTTTTAAAATTATTTAAATATTTTTTAAAATCCTCAAAATATTAAAATTTCTATTTTTTAGCACATTACGAAAAATTTTTTGAAAAAAAGTGCTTGTTAGTTTCACTCTGTTCATCCATCTGCCCCTCCGTGGACATGTTTACAAAACTTCTACACCCTTGAAGATAGAAAGGTAAAACTTAATATGTAAATAGATCTTTACTAGAAACTTATTTCAGTGGAAGAAAATTTTTACCTATCTCCCCTCTTCTAGAAGTTACACCCCACCAAAACCCTAAAAATGTAATTTTTTAACTATTTATTGCAAACATCAGCATCTCCTATTGCGGCATACTATAGTTAAACTGTAAAAAAACAAAATGGCCCTTCAAATTTACCGTTATTTAATACCTGTTTTTTCCTGATTTTTGATGTCGTTTTTTTTCTAGACCATAGGTCTAGTCTGAAATTTTAGCAGCTTTTAGACACTAACAAATAGTTCATTTCATTTGAAAAAAATTTTCTTCCATGTCCACTCCCTCCCAAGTTATAGCCTCTTGAAATTTGTAAAATTTGAATATTGGGCACCTTATATTTCTAAAACCGAAAGCTTTTTCAAATTTTTATAAACGCAAAAAGCTAACGATAAATTCCATGACATTATATATATGCAATCCTAGAGAAAGTTGCGCTTGGCTTTTTTTACAGCGGCATAGCATAACTGAATATTAAAAATAAATGGGTGTTTTTTCCCAAATTTTTGATACCGGTTTTCTTCTATAAAATAGATTCTAGACGTCTGGAACTTCTGCAGCTTTTAGGTACTAATAAAAAATTTTTCCAACTCCATCAACTCGTAGAAAGTTATCGCCTCCCGAAATTTGTAAAGGACGCATTTTTCGCGCATTTTTTTTTGAAAAGTAAAGATTTCCAATCCAAAAAACTGAAAAGTAAAATTTAATAAGCTGAAATGTAGAAAAATGAAATTTTCACGTTTATGTTTCTGAAATACTTTGAAACGAGAACAGGTGGAGTTTACAATCCCAGCTCTGTAAAACCCCTACGAATGAATGATTTTAAATGCTGTTTCTTTCCAGCACTGCAATTTCAGTAGCTTCCATGATATAAGATCAAATGACTTTCAAAGTTGTATGGCAGCTACCACCACAAGTCAAAATATTTCAACTAGTCCCATAAAATAAAAGAGCCCTAATAAAATATTTTCTTGTGTGCAATTTTAAAACTGTAGGTTCTATAATTTCTGAGATCTAGACAAATAACTTTTGAAGTTATAGGCAGCTATCATAAGCACTCATGATATCTTAATAGTTTTTACCAATAATAATGTAAGGAAAATTTAGTATACCCTTCGAACATATGTACGTTCGAAAAAGTGTGATGTTGTTTGTTTTCTAATTTTTTTCTCTATATTTATGGATACTGGAATTATATGTATGCATATTCAAAGTAACAATTTCCGAGAGTAATACTAATGTCTTTATAACTAACAAGGCCCAATGCTAAGAGAGAAACTTGAAAGCACGACCTTATTTTATATGGGTTTTTTTTTAAATCGAAGTGGCTATCTTTTGAGAAGAAATATTAAAATTAATTCACATTTATTATAAAACAGGTAAAATTTAGAAAAAATATTTGAAAAATCAAAAAAATATTAATATTTTCATTCATAATTATTGTAAAATTCTTGAAACAGCGGGAAAATAACAAGCACAACCTTTGCCTTCAATGTTTTATATGTTACTGAAAACATTTCATTATTTTTAAGTGAACAGCTTTTTTTTCTCATAGGGTAGGTTCACTCAAGATATGGGAAGTAACTGCGGTGTCAAGTTGAAAATATAATAAATGAAACAAGAGCAATCAATTTATAAAATGGCCCTGCCTATGTATGAATCTTAATAGTAAATGCAAACGGACAAAAATTTACATCAGTACCTACTACCTGTCATTTTTCAATCGGAGTTTTTGGGTCATTTGCTATTCGTAAGATACTATTTATTTCAAAAATAAAAAAGATATTCGAATCCGGTCATAAAATATATTATTGTCTTTTCCAAAACCTTTCAAATATTTTTTTACTTAGGTAATCTATATTATATTTTACAAGATTTTTCCAGTTCATGAACAGGTATACATATAATCTAATAAATAACAAAAACAAAAAAATGAAAATAGCAAAAGAGAATACTGGGTAGATACATTACTCAATTGATTATACATACTGTAAAACAAAAACAAAAAATGAAAAGCGAAAAGCGAAAGAGAATAAAAAAAGAGTAGTAATATTTTTTTTGTTTTTTTGCTTTACTACCATAAACAAAAATAAAAAGCAAAAGGAAGCGAAATATTTTAAATGAGTTAAGAGTAAAATAATTTTTTGTTGTTGTATTTAACATGGAATGGAATTAAAAAAAATAAAACTAAAAATTGTGAGAGATATAAGAACACGAATAACGTTACGTTACGCACTAAGGCAATTATTCTTCGTGTGCTTGCGAAATTTCAATTGAGTAAGTAGCCAAGCCAGGTCTGTATAAAGAAAAGAGGCATTGATTTTTTATTAATTCACATTCACTTTGGTTTTAAAGTTTAACGTGAAAGGTACTATTTTAATTGCGGATTCTTTTCTTTTTAAAAAATGGATAACAAACAAAACAAACGTAAAGAATATATGAAAGCATATCGTACAGAAAATTCTAAAAAAATTCAAATTCAAATGCAATCTTATTATGCAGCAAATCGTGAAGCAATTCTCGAACGAAAAAGTCAAAATACAGAAGCGACTTCAACTCTAAAAATATTTCCATTACTTTTATTTATCATTAGTATTCAAACCAATATGATATTTATGCATATACAAGTATATACCTGCATATGTATGCCATAATATGTACAAATTTTTCTAAACTTATTTTAAAATTGATTGCCACAATCCTGTTTTTACAACAGATAATGCTGCTTATAAGCAAACCACAGGGGCCCCTAGTATATTAAGTTTTAAAAATTTTTTCTCGCAAATAGAAGTAAAATTTAGATGTGTATATAAAATTTGTATTTAAAAAATAATATTTGATTGTATTTTAAATATTAATTTCTAATTCCCTCTTAAAATTTTTTCTTAACTACGTATTTATATCAATATTCAATAATTATCTTTCATTAATTATATTTTCAACTTGACACCACAGTTACTTCATATATCTTGAGTCAACTTACCCTATGAGAAAAAAAAACTGTTCACTTAAAAATAATGAAATGATTTCAGCAACATAAAACATTGAAAGAATTTTAATATAATTCAGAATGAAAATATTATTATATTTTCTTGATATTCAAATATATTTTTTCTAAATTTTACCTGCTTTATAATAAGTGTGAATTTATTTTAATATTTCTTCTCAAAAAATAGCCACTGCGATTTAAAAAAACCCATATAAAATAAGGTCGTGCTTTCAAGTTTCTCTCTGAGCATTGGGACTTGTTAGATATAAAGACATTAGTTGTGCAGTCATTATAACACGCCTTTGTGACATTCTCTTTTAAACATTTTATTTACTTTAATGTTTTTTAACTACTTACATAATATGTACTTAAAATATCTTAATAAAACTAAATACTTTTGTTGTGAGTGTTCCTACGCATTCTTATAATGACAATCAACAAATGAAATACGAGAACAACATCTAAGTATTAATTTATTTATCCTTATTCATTTTTTAAATTATTTGAAAACAATAACTATTGAAAAAAAAATAAAAAGAGTGTTTATAAAACTAGAACTTGCATCACACCATTATAATAAAAAACAAAAAGATAAAAATAACCAACAATAAGAGACCGTATTAATTGTAAATTCAAAGGAAAAAAACAATCAAACAAAGAAATGCTATAAAAATATGCATGTGACATTTGTATAATTTCTATTTCAATTTTTACCAAAGGCAACTTATCCTCTCCAGTTGTTTCGTTGAAATCCACCAGAGTTTGAGCCTTGTTGTATTTATTTTTTAAATTTTTTCAGCATTAAAATAAAGTAGAATATTTTGTTTTTGATTTTAAACTATAATTTCATTTTTTAATTGAAGTTGGAAATCTAAATTAATATCTAACTTATTTAAACAAAAATATCATGAGAACACACTGCAGATTTGGGAGGTGAGGTTTTTTTCAACGTTTGAGTTAAAAAAAAACATAAAAATTTTGTTTTTGTACTAAATAACATTAGAAAATTAAATTACAAGAATTTCATATACATACATATCTAAAAATATATATATAAAAAGTTTTTCTACGTTGAAATCTGCAATATTAATTATTTCTTGTTGAAAACTTGTTTTGAGAATTCTCACTACTTACTTTTTTACTCAAGGTAACGTTCAAATGAAATTTTAGAAATAAAAATTTAAACTATTGAAAAATAATAAAACTTACCACTTTTAAACTTTCTTTCTTGTTCAAACGAAGTTCTCGTAGCATTTGGTGTCGCTGCTCCATCATCAGGGTACGTTCATAAGTGTATGCTGATATATCGCTATTCATCTAAAATATTAAAATAAGGAAAACATCGGTTCAATTGTTCAACATATATAGATTTTTAATTAAAAAATTATGTTAATCTTACTAAACTACACAACTGCTTAAAAAATCGAAGGAATGAGCTTTACGGAAAGTTCAAAATTTTGTTTTGAATATTTTTTTAATTTATATTTAACTTTTCAAACTATTCATGATTAGCCAACACTAAGCATAGCTAAAGTATGCATTCAACTTATTTTTTTTCATTCTATGAAAATGGTATTTTTTATTTGAAAGAGATCGAGTTTTCCGTAATTATTTTAGCATTTAACAATTTTACTTGAAATGTCTTTTTTTATTAAATTAATATATAAAAGTTAATCAATCCGTGACATAGTCAAAACAAACTCACATATAAAATTTCATGAAAAACGGTTCAGCAGAATTTGATATACACGCATGCACACATAGACATATAAAACGACAAACTGAGAGACCGACAGGTTGCTAAAAATAGTTTATTTACACTTATCTGCTTTAGAGAAGGGCGTTCCTAGCGAAAACTGGGTCGTATTTTACTCAAATACCGAAAAAGACCGTTCAATTTATAAACTACGCATATGGGCTCATAAGTTGTTCGAACATGTTACGCAAATATTTAAAATAGAACATAATATTTAAATATTAAATAGAACGCAAATATTTATCAGACGATTGCTTAGTACAAGTATAGTATTTGGTATACCAAAGCATCAGATAGGCCATAACGTTGCTAAAATTGCCATCATTTATAGATGGAATGCAAAAACGAAAGGAAAATGAATATTAGTAGTATTAATTTAATAATAATATTTCAAATTAAAACTATACAAATAAAACCAAAGGTACACAACTACTGCGCATCTAGTTAATGGTATGATGAAACAAAGAATATAACAAAATTAAAGCCTCCATTAAGTCTGGCCTTAACCATCCTCTCCAACTTAACCAAGCATTGTTGACCCATGCTTCTTATACTTTGTACTTATAAAGCAGATCATTGAAAAGATCTACCTTAAGCTGTAATAGACAAATGTACCGACACCATTTTGCAACACAATCAACCACAGTAGCCACGTGCCCTCTATCTCCTAAACTATCTCCTAAAAACTAATTCTACTTATCTCCTAAAAACTAACTTCTGAAAAGGAGGCACACAAAAAAGTATCACTAGTCGTCACATTAAGAGGCATCAAACGACTATCCTGGAGAAGAATCGAACTTAACTCATGCTTACATACAAAAACCTGAAAAATTCCTGAAAGGACAATTTTTTGCTCTCTCAGAAGTTTAATTTTTCTAAAATAAGACTATAATGTTTGTACAATAATTACATTCATAATTTACATTCATATTTTTTTAATATTGAGTGAAATGTTTTTGAGCTTAATGTGACATCATACAGCTATTGAAAAAGTAGGTAAAAACTTTGTGAAAGTGCTGAAAATGCTCCAAGGTTAAAAAAAGGGCTAAAAAAAGCACAATAAGTTTAAAAATCCCAATTGTAATGCGGACCTTCTTATAGACAGGAATCACGAAACCTTTTTTCTAAATACCAAGAGATAAGTAGCTACGAAGCGATAGATTGTGAAGAAAACTAATCGACCATCAGACCTATGCTAACTTCTTACAAATTCAAAAAGAAAATTTCTGTCGGCAAAAACACCACTTCTATATGATCAAGATGGCACCCATAAAAGAATTAAAAAAAAAATAATCTACATGATATCTCAGATCATGTAGACTTCAACACCGTCTTGAGTAGAAAACAATATATCAAGGCCAGTAAATTGAAGTCAATATTCGATTCCACTCCAAACAACGCCCCCATAGTAATCAACTCAAAAAAGAATATCTAAAGAGGGATACTAGTAGTCGGGACGGTACTTCCAGTATTTTCGGAATACGAAGCATTTTCTTTTAAGAGAAAATAATAAATTTACCTATTAAATCTTATTTAATAGGTATTTATATATACATATGTTATTTAATACCTATTAAAAATATGATATTGTATTTATGTAAATTAATAGGATAAAAATAAAGTGCAAAAAATGTTAGGAATAGTTATAAATGATATATAATTATGTGCGATGTACTACATTATTAAAATTACTTTCATTCTTATACGATTTACCAATGTTTTCAGTGTTTAAAATAAACCAAAAAAATTTAAAGGGGCGTTAACATAATGCTCGAATTTAAGGGTTAATTGCATGAGTAAAGAAAGATAATTATACTTTTTAATGGCACGGCATTTACCGTTAGCTCTCTGAATACATAGAAATTCGGAAAGGGAAATATAAAGTGCCCAAAATTCGAATTTCCCAAATTTCGAGAGTCGAAAACTTGAAAGAGAGTGGTGGTGCAAAAAAATTTTCTTATAGCGAAATGAAATATTTATTAGTGTCTTTTTAAACTTCAGGTATACAAATATGCCGCGAAAGAAGAAACAAGCCACTATTTTTCTGCATTTGCAAAATTCGAAACGTGCTTAGGGTTTCGGTGCAAGAAATAGTTGGAAAATTTTTAGGGTTTTGTCGTACTATACCTTTTGGCGGGGGGGGGGGGGGGGGGGAGGGTAAAAATTTTCTTCCACGGAAATAATTTCCATGTAAAAATCTATGCACCTATGAAATTTTAGCTTTTTATCTTCAAAGGTGTAACAGTTTTTAAACATGTACACGGACGGACCTACAGAGTGAAACTAGTAAGCACTTTTTTTCAAACCCTTATATCAAGTTCATAACATATCAACATAATATTTTGATGCTAGTATTTACATGTGTACATATGTTAGTGCATGCATAACGCACATTCATTCTACTTTGCAGTTGCATGTTATAATTTTCTTTTTCGATAAAATTTTAAAACTCAATCAAAAATAATGTTGGCTCAAACAAATGATTTGTATTGCATCACTTTTCCTTTCAACAAGTGAAAATACTCCTTTTAAATACAGTCTATGTATACCTATCACACTATTAAAATTATTTTTTTTTTTTCATATTAAACTTTATTTTATCCTTTAAACAATTATACTTGCCTTAACTTGACTTAACATTTAAATACAAAACTGTATGTTGATGTAATTATGGTAATATTATATTTATTACATTATTTTGGTATTAATTTTTTTTTTCAAATGACTTTATTGGAAAATCAGGGAATGAAAAACCAATAATTATTTCGCAAAGAAAAATAAAACTTAACCTACCCTAACCTAACACTTACACCCTAATTAAAACTATTTGTACTACTATCTTACACTGTACTTGCTTATCACTAGCTATTGTCCAATCACCATTATTTTTTAATGTATATATTTGTTCCTTTCTGAAGTTGACATTTCGTATTTGAAATCTTCCATGTTTATATCATCTGCGTTATATTCAATGGTCTTGCATGTAGCCCGTCTATTGCAGTGATATAATAGGGAGACGTAACCTTGCCCATAAATATAACCATTTTGATCTAAAAAGACAAAATGCTCTGGGGCTACGAATTCTGTAAGCAACGTCTGTCTAATGTACTCCCCATTGCGGTAGGATATATATGATATCAGACCATTTTCAAGGGTTTTTTTTGTGCTTTATCATAATGATTTCGAACCAATTTTATTAGAAAATTGTCGATTCTGATTATGTTTGCTCTTTTGTACAAGTGTTTGTTAGAATAGTAATGTGTATAACCGGTATCTGATTTTCTATATATTCCGGTGCAGACTCTTATGCATTTTCTCTCAAACTTTCGTAGTTTTTCCATTAAACTTTCACTTATGTTGTACCATATTGGAACACCATATGCAACTCTAGGCCTTATTAATGATTGGTAGAAAATTATTTTCACTCTGCTACTAATGTTTTTATTGTAAAATTTTTTTTTTGCCACCATAAAGAGTTTGTTATCCTTAGATATTGTATATTTAATATGCTCGGAATAGTTTAAGTTGCGATGTAAAAATATTCCAAGATATTCAACAATTTTTTTGTTGGTTAGAGATGTGTTTCCAGGAGTCTTTATAATAAAGCTTTTCCAGTTGTTTTTTATGCCGCAACTTACTTTGTCAACCGTGTTCCGAAATAGCACGGTCTCACATTTATTGCAGTTCACTTTCAATATCCATAGTTTGCGGTAGTTCAAAATGATATTGAAAATTTTTTGAACTCTGTGCTGTATGCTGGATACAGTATTATCTGCGGCATATACTATCAGATCATCTGCAAAGGCGAGGCAGTAAGAATTACCTTTTACACGATCTAACAATTTCAGCAATTCAGAAATGTAGATTGAAAAAAGGATCGGTACATAAACTGTTCGCTGCTGCAATCCTTTTTGGATTACGAAATTTCCACTTTGGCCATCTTGCGACATCTGTATTATTCATTCCTATACAACATGCTACATATCAGTGCAGTTAAATGACGAAGAAAGTTGTATTCATGCAATAACTTATAAATTTATAAATGCAATAACTTATAAATGCAATAAGTTCATCCAACCAGACCGAATTAAAGGCCTTTTCAAGATCTATTGGACAGGTACCCACACCAAAGCCCTTGTTGACAAACCAGCAGATGTTCGAAGTCAGTTTAGTTACTGCATGAACAGTACTATGTCTGAATGTGAAACCAAACTTATGTTGTGGTATTATGTCTTTTGCTATTGTATATCTAGTAATTCGGTCATTTATAAGTGTTTCGAAAACCTTGCTAATGTTAGGCATCAAACTTATTGGTCTATAATTACTTGAATTAGACGGGTCTTTGCCTGGTTTTTTAGCAATACTGTTTTTGATATTTTCCATATTTTAGGAAAATACAAGTTAATTGCATTATTAAAAAGTATAACATATTTTGAAATCACTAGCTTAGTTAAGTTTTTCAATACCAGGTTTGAGATCTTATCTACACCAGAAGATGTCTTGTTGGTTAATATCCTAAATTTAATTTCAAGTTCAGTTTGGTTCGTGAATTGATCGTTTA